TGTGTCATTACTACACCTGTACTCTGTGTCATTACTTCACCTGTACTCTGTGTCATTACTACACCTGTACTCTGTGTCATTACTACACCTGTACTCTGTGTCATTACTACACCTGTACTCTGTGTCATTACTACACCTGTACTCCTGTCCCTTTACTAACACCATGTCTGAGTGATTCAGGGCAGCTTCAAATCATTTAAAGTCAATAACTCAAACATTTAAAGAACAAAGTCACTTCATTTAATATGTCACAGAGTTGTGAACATTTTTCTATGTGTAGTTTTCAAAATGTTTGCAGGACGTTGTGTTTTCTTCTCATGAGTCAAAGGTTTGAAGTCCTGTCACTGGACTTCTGGACCTGATCAGAACACAACAGTTAAAGACTTGTCATACAGTGTGGGACACAGTGGTCACACAGTGTGGGACACAGTGGTCACACAGTGTGGGACACAGAGGTCACACAGTGGTCACACAGTGTGGGACACAGTGGTCACACAGTGTGGGACACAGAGGTCACACAGTGGTCACACAGTGTGGGACACAGAGGTCACACAGTGGTCACACAGTGGTCACACAATGTGGGACACAGAGGTCACACAGTGTGGGACACAGTGGTCACACAGTGGTCACACAGTGTGGGACACAGTGGTCACACAGTAGTCACACAGAGGTCACACACACTCTAACCATGTTTTGAGTGAGAAAATAGAGACTTTTAAAAATGTTTTTTCTGAGTGGAAATCTTTTCAGAAACAGTTTTTGGTGAAATCATGTGGACTTGAAATGAAATATGGAGCTTTTTAAAAAGATGGAGCCTGTTTTACTCGTACGCACCATTTCTTTTTGTTTTTGAGACATTTTATACACTTTTATCTTATTGTTCTGGAAGAATTTGATAAAAGTGTATAAAAATAGTTTTTTAGATTATTCGTAGACAAACTAAGACAGTTTTTTTTCGCTGTAGTTAGATGTCATTCATGTAAACGACACCRTGTTGTAGAGCAGAAGGTGGTGTTGATGTGGGAATGTGTTGTAGATGCTTCATAAAGAAAATCTGCCACAGCAGCACTCACTTTTCTAATTAACACCAAGGACTGTGTGATTTATGTCCAATAAGCAGAGAGACAAAATATTCACTATTCTTTCCTCTCAGGGCTAAAAGCTTTAGAAGATGAAGAAAATGTTTGTAATGACAATTATTTTAACATTTCCAGAACTACACAGCCATAAGACTGTTCACCACATTCAGGGATTTCTTCTGAGTTTTTCTGTGACATCTAATCTGTGACCACATGTGTGACCACTGGTGTGTTATCAGCCTAACACACTTCCCTACTCCTCCTTTAACTGTGTGTTTGCTAACAAAGACAAAGACATTGTCTAACCATTGATACATCAGGTAATCCTCATTTCAACTCCTAACTGTAACAACTACTTAAACAATTTGACTTCTGTTAAAGTACAGCATACAGTTTAAAATAACATTCACTCCTAGTGTTAAATATGTKTGTGTGCATCATATACACACATCTTTAGACTGCAATCCCTCCATCTCACTCTTTGTAAGCTGAAGATGTGTGTAAATAACCAGCAGGGGGCAGCAGAGCGTAACATGTTGGCATCACTGAACTCTTGTAGTTTTAACAGCTCAAACCAGTGTAGAGTTAGACCTTCAGAGTTAGACCTTCAGAGTTAGACCTTCAGAGTTAGACCTTCAGAGTTAGACCTTCAGAGTTAGACCTTCAGAGTTAGACCTTCAGAGTTAGACC